CAGATGATGTTTATTTCAACACTGACCTTGGTCAAGCTGCATGGCACAACGGCACATAAACAATACAGTCAGACATTGACGGCGCCGAATAATAGAAATCCTACGTTTGTTTAACGCACTTCTTCCTTTGGGCGCCGTCCTGACGCACTGTTTGACCAAGATAAACGCAAATGAACTCATCCAGCGCTTCGTGTAAACTTACTTATGAGTGAAGATATCGCGTTTTTTTTTTTGTCATACATATATAGGTGCAATGCACGGCGATAGCAGGTAGAGTTCGCCCGCTCGTTCCCATATTATCTTTGCTAGGCGCGCCTGCGCGACAATTTATTTCTCAAGATAATATTCGCAGCAACTTCGTGCGTAAGCTTCTTTTAGTGTGGAATACAGACGTACCTGTGATAAAATGGTTTTCGCACACTCTGGCTTTAAAGTTCCGTGTTCAAAGGCTACCTGTCGCTGTTGCTCTATTCACAGTCACGGCCCACCTCGTTTTTTTTTTTGTCTTCCTTACATGGCGATTGATACCCGAGTTTGCCTCGCACGCTCGAGTTGGAGCAGCCGACGGCTGAAAAACCGACCATGGCTTATCAGGACGAAGATAAACGGGCGAGCGCACGCGCGAATCCCGAATAATCTGAGGCTTGCGGCGAAGCGATTTGCAGTCATCTACTCTTCTCGAACCGAAAGCCGGTAGCAGACGGTGAATCCCACAATCCCTCGCTCGTTTACTGGTCACCTATTGGGATAGATTCAATGCACAAGAAAAAATATGCTTTCATTTTGAGCTCGCTGAAGGATATCATACAATAAATACAATCAAAGTGACTTTCGAGCGTGAAAAAACATCAACGCACGACGGGACGTGAAGTGCAACTCTCTGCTTGTTAGCTAGATGCTGATAGTTCATCGTCGCTGTCACTTTCAGCACGTTGACAGCCATCTACGTCTAGTGGAAAATCCTCGACGTCAAAACGGTTTCTTTAAACACCACCGCTCAAAGTAATCGGAGGAATTCTCTTCGCCAAAAGACTTCGATAGCACCAACAACGCGTCATTCACCACGCACAACACCCACACGGCATCCCTCACCACGTTTATCTGAGGGTGCGGAGATCATTTCGCTCCGATACCCGGCAAGAAAGGAATCACTTGCAGTGTGCTGCCATCTATCAACGAACGCAAAACACACGGTGAAGGGTAGGCCAAGGTTTGAAAAAGCAAATCGCGAGCCTGGGCTGTTTTCCGCATACAATGAATGTTTTGTGATTCTTGCTTTAAAAAAGTACTGACGAATGCTATAAGCACGTAAAACAAGGCAAGTTTAACTTGAATGGTCAGACGATACTATCTAAAGGGGCCCTGAAACACTTTTTCAAGTAACCATGGAAAAAATTTACTGGTAGAGCTTATTGCCTCACGAATTCACCACCGCAAAAAAATGTTAAGACTCCGTCCAGTGCGAGCGAAGTTACAAAGGTTTGTCGCATGCAGCAATTTTCTTCTCACTTCTCTTGTCCCGACTAAAAGGAAGGGGCTTTAGTCCCAACGAAAGCGCTGGAAGCTAAGCAGGGAGGGATGGCAGGGCCACAGAAAAACGTCACGCGCGCCTCATGGCATTGAGCGCTCTTTCCATTTTTTTTCCTTTCTCGAAGTGCGGCTTTCCGGTGTGATCACGCGCGCACGCATGGACAAGTAGCGGCCTCCCGCAGCGATCTCTGTAACCAGCGAGTGCGCCATGTTCAAATCAGCCAATGGCTGATAGACGCATTTGCTACGAGTGATTTTTGAGCATATTCCGTGATATGTCGAGAGAAGAGAAAGCATTTTTTAGCTGAATATGATAATTCATTGTGAATTTCAGGCCACATGCTGCGCTTAATATTTGGCTCGCGTGTTTTCGGGAGCCTCTACTACCGATCGGCAGCGTTTCCTGACTGACCATGCTCAAAAAGTGTTGCGGGGCCTTTCTTTAACTATCTAAAGTGGCTGCGGAAAATCTCGCGAAGCTGATATGTGTACTCTGCGGGCTATAATCGAAAGCGGGAGTTCCCACTCATTTTCACGAAAACCTCGCGTCTCGCAAGAACGAATCAGATTTATCGTGTCTGTCGAAGTGAAAGTCGCTCCCCATATCATATCGATTCGCTGGGTTCGAAAAACGGCAGAATAACATATGCGTTAAAAAAAAAAAGCGGCCTTGGCGGAACGCGCTGCATAGTTAGCATAGTTACATTGTAATCTGCTGAAACTGAACTGAAAAGCTGAAAGAGCGGCCTTTACAGTCTTTTTTATACATTTTTGAGGTAGCCATTACAAGTACACATGGATGGATGGATGGACGGACTGTCCCGCACCCAAAGATAACTTGCGCTTGTACCGCCGGCTGCTTTATCCCCTCACACCCCACAACTACTTCGCGGAAGCAGGGTCTTGTGACCACTGAACCGTCTGAACCTGTTTTTTCCAAACATGTTTCTCTTTTCTTTTCCGCCATTCTGGGTGCTAGTGCCTTACTGTTTTCACCACCCGCTGCTCCTTAGTTCACCTTACACACCTCGCTAGTGTCTCCAGCTCGGCGATTCTCCTCATCAGTTCACTCTGGGAAAGCATTACTTTCTCCGTTTTTTTTTTCTTCAACCTCACATTGTTGTAGACTTGGTATTGGCTTCCTCTGCATTTGCATCCGCACTATATATCCCCCATCTTCAAACCCACCCCACATCCTGAACAATTTAGTCGTTTTTACCATGTCTTTTGCTAATAATAGCGAAAGTTGGGCTAGTAGGTGGTTGATACTTGGGAAGTAAAAACAGTGCAAAAATATAGACAAGGACAGATGAAGAGACGACACTGCAGTGTCGTCTCTTCCTCTGTCCGTGTCTGTATTTTTGCGATGTTTTTACTGCCCAAGTATGTCTTCTTATTTTTTGAGTCTTTTTGACACGAATTCACCAGTACCCCGAGTAGCTGAATTGTCCCACTCGATAACTACAGGACGCGGAGTACGACGAAGACTGCCTTAAGTAAAAATAAGTCTAAGCTCTACTAAATAAATTTACGTGGCCGATGTGCTTGCCCACCACGTGGTGGCAGGAGAAAAAAAAACACACTGTAACGACGAAAAATAAGAGACAACGCCTTTGCTGCAGGCCGGCTGTTCTTGAGAAATAAGAGACAACGCCTTTGCTGCAGGCCGGCTGTTCTTATTCTGCTTCCTCCTCGTCGTCTTCCGTCTCTCCCAGGTATGCGCCGAGCACGATCGCCGCTTTGTCATCATTACAACACACACAAACGAGAACTATTTCAGGTGACTGACCCCCCCCCCCCCCAACAGCCTTACAATGTAATAAGTGCAATAAAGGTTTACACTACTGCCTTATCAATTAATAAAAACAAACTCGGAGCATCAAAAAACACTTATCGGCGCAGTCAATTCGGAACCCTCGAAAAACATGTCCATCCGCCACCAAACCAACTCGCCAAATCATACGAAACGGCCACTATGCCATTGTTCGTGATTCTTCGGAAAAACGTGGTACCCGTTGCACACACGCAAGACAATTACGTGTACTTTATTGATGGTATGGCTCACGACGATGAAGAATTACGTCTGAGGATTTTGTAATAGCTTGGCGCAATAAACAGCCCACTCATTATGCAATGCGCATTCTGTAACGCCTAGTTGTAGCGTTCTAAAACGAATAACCACGCATGTTAACGCGATCCGTTACCCGGCATGAAGCCTGCCGGGTCGCTTTGCAACGGAGTTTAATAAAACACCGGCGCTTCTCGGTGAAAGAACACTAGGCTGCTACGTGGAGAACCCAGGCTGGAACCCTGCTCTATCCTACATTTTTTCTTACTGATTTCTTTATTGTGCTCGCGTGATATCGTAATGAGTATCCATAAATGCGGCGCAGCAATATGCCCCACAGAAAGACGCTTGCGACTAAAAAGTCACATCGCGGGTCTAAAAGCGCAGTACAGAGTGCCAATGATTTGCGCACAGGAGAAGCCTGAGCGAATGTGAGGAAGGAAATAACGACTCCATCTGGCCGCGCCTCAGGTTGCCGAGTTGACAGCGGCCATCTTTTTCAGCCGTTTGACCGCCCAACAGTGTACGGTTGCAGCAACGACGAAGCGAGCTGCCAAGATGAGCCTCGAGCGTGCATGATCTGCGAGGCAACAGTGCGAGGCCTCTGAGGGCGAGCTCGCCAGAGTGGCGCGAGATTATGCACCAGGACGATGTAGGCAAACGACGTCCGTAGTTACGAGAGAGCCCTGATAGAAGCGCGGCATCCTGTCAAGTGCGCGTTGCAGACGTTACCGCCGCCGATTGAAGATTACGCCGTCGAGGTGACGCAACAGCACCACCTCAACAGCGCTCGCGCGTGCTGTGCATAATACATACACACACAAAGAAAGAAAGAAGAAAGGAAGAAAAGAAAGAAAAGAAAGAAAGAAAGAAAGAAAGAAGAAAGAAAGAAAGATAATATGCGGGATCCGATAATTAATACTGCATATGAAAAAAAAAACAGCTACGCGCAGCAGGCACAGATGAAAGAGTGAAATTGTTGGCTTACAAAAACGCTTTCGCTTCGCGAAAAATTATTTTAGCTGGCTGAATGAAGAGGAATTCGAATAAAGTGCGAGTCCTATTAAATGAGAGTCGAATGAAGCGTAGTTCAATGAAGTGGGTGTCGTGAGTGGTGCCGCTTACCGAATCCCGATCCACGACGGCCCCGGACATGAAAGTGTCGACTAAGAACAGCTTCGCCGGTAAAAATATACACACTGAAAACTGAGACAGCTTTGTGAGCAGATATGTTTGCTGGGCTGCCCCATGGTTAACTCTCCTGTTTAGGGTAAAACCGAACTGTTGGCAGGAACAAGCACTATTTCCTCGGTTCTGTTGCAACTCAACATACAAACACTGCGGCGCGGTGGCTACGCGTGTAATAGGCAAGGCACATGAAATTACCCAAGACAACGCTCACCTCTGGCCCCCCGGCGCTGGTTGGCCTGTGACCATTTGCGCTTCTCGGCCGAACCAGCGCGGTTGTTGATAACCTCGAGCTCCTCTTCAGAGCTGTGCTGCTCTAGGTTGGGGTCACTGTCACTGGGCAGTGCAGAGTCCAAGAGCACGGGACTGCTGTTTGGGGCAACGTTAGGGCCAACCACGTGGTGGGCCGTCACAAGCACCACTGCGGGACTCGAGAGCAGTTCGGAGTGGTGGTGATGATGCTGCTGTGGTAGCAAGCGGCGCCTGTCCGCAGACTTGTTCTGCTGCCGAGATTCCGGTTGCCGGAAGCTGGCGTGTTGGCAGAGCCTACTCGCAGAGTGGCCGCCGCTGCTGTCTTCCAACTGAATGCTCTGCTCCATATCTGCGAAGAAGAGAAAATATACCGTAAATGTCATGTCGCTTCAACATCATCACGTGTACGCGTAAACGTTCCACCTCATCAAGTAAGCGTCATTACGGAAGTATAAAGTATGCGTGTATTTCTGCCCAGCAAGTTTCCTGCGAAAACATCGCAGTCGTAGTCACACGTTTAAAAGAGAAAATCGCATGTTGTCAGCCCCATCTGAATCGTATGCCTGATTTATTGTTAAAAACAAGAAAATTAGACGACACAAACCACCGGGAAAAAAAGAATGTCAACTCGCGACTATCTTTATTCTTGCAAAACCACCGCAACAAATGCACTATGGCGCACATGCGCAACAACACACCATACGTCAAATCGCACAATCTCACATACTCAATGCACGTGCTACTTCAGAAACCTGTCAAAAATTTGGCAGAACGCAGTGCCACGGACTGATCGCTAATACAGAAATCCTTTTTTTTTCTTCATAGTGAGGTATATATCCTTCTACTTAAGAGAAAGGATAATGACCTATAAGGAGCTTGCATGTACGGCGGCGACGCTATGCACTCTGCGTAGGCAACCATTTTTTTGTCAGAGGCGGTCGGAAAGTGCAGCAGCGCAGTCGTGCTTGCAAGCGTTGAAGTAGCTTGCAGGCGTGATCGAGTGCGAGCGCGACACAAATTTAACTCCAAGAAGAGTTGTGCACGATGTCAGCCTGATCGGAAGACTACACCGCAACGCTGTGCCAGGAAGACCTCGAGCAATACGAAGGAGACGATAATTTGCCTCCGAGTGGACTCATTCACGCTTCGTGCGGGGCGACTGTGTAAGCGACGTGCACTTGTGGCCACGCGTCGACAGCTCCGATATTCATGAATTTCTCATTCCGAGGACGAGTTTGATTACCCAGGAGCTGTTGAAGTCGAGAAAGGCAATTAAGGGAGACAACTTTCTGACAAGTGGCTCGTTGTGGGAGTCGTGGAATGAAGAAATTCGCCGCCGATACTGTAATCGTCGTCACTCAAGTAAAAGGTGTTAAATTACTTGATTTTGCCGTAAATGCGAATATTTGTTTCTGTTCAGGTTAAACTTCCAGTGTGTTAATAAGCCGCCGTCGACGCATTGTTCATGGCCAAGAGTGATGGCAAGGTCCTTGCCGCGCACTGCACATGCATGGCCGGGAACAGGGAAGCCTGCTCGCATCCCACTGCGCTGTTATTCTACGTGGAGTATGACGCACGTGCACGAGAAGAGCACGTCTTACTTGAGTAACGACGACCACTGTGTCGGCGGCGACTTTTTTTCTTCACCCGCGGCTCGCGTACCCGGCCACTCTACCACAAACTTGTGACCCTTGAGAGCCTTGATGGGCTTCATCTGCTCCCGAGTTTTCAAACTCGTCCTCGGAACGAAAAATTCGTGCATATCGGAGCTGTCGACGCGCCGCCACAAGTACACGTCGCTTACACAGTCGCCCGCACGAAGCGTGAATGAGTCCACTCGGAGCGAATTCTCGTCTTTTCGTACCGCTCGAGGTCTTTCTGGCAAAGCGTTGCGGTGTAGCCTTGCGGTGGGGCTGATATCAATCACGACACTTCTTGGAGTTAAAAACACCTGAAGCAACCTATAAGTTTCCCCTTTATTTTAACCAACTAGATCCGCTCATAGTTTTCTAAAATTAACAAGAGGGGACTCTGGCACTGCGATGGTTCAGCGACCGTTGGAATGGCGGGCAGTACACAGATTTGCTTAGTTTTTGTACTTGCGGGCAGCGAATCGCCCTTGTGGCTTCGTTTATTGCTGTGTTTCAGTTTTGTTTCGAAGGAAAAAAAAGAAACGAACCGTTTTGGACTTCGTGACCCAATTAGAAATGTCAAGCCTAAATGAGTAAGGTGAAGAAGCGCAACCGCTGAACATTTGCTGATTTTCGTTTCGCGAGAAAACAGCTTCAAGCCATACGAACACACTCGGAGCCAGAAGTACGAAGATTAGACAAATCCGTGTACTACCCATCATTCCCATGCTCGCTGAAGCGCCGTGCGTTGTAGCTCCCATAGACACTAGCGCCAGAGTTCTCTCTAGTGTATATTTAGGAAACTATGCAGCCGCTCACCCTGGATGTTATCATCAAACGTCCATCTGGTCCCTATTTTATTAAATTACTCGTGGTGATTGGTACCGCCCCTGAAGTGCGCCCTTGTAAAGTACTGTATCGACGCGACGGCGTCCAACGTAGACGTGCCGTCGTCGATGGTTAAATGAAAGGACGACTCAGGAAGGAAGCGAGCTGCCGAAGTAGAGCGGTGGGCGTGGCGTTCAGCCAGCCAGAAGCCACGGACGTTCCAGGCACCTCGCACCACGAGCTACCAGCGCTCGTCATCTTTTTCTCTACTAGCGCCACGGTACAGTACAAGTATATTGGAATGTTAGAACGCATTGTAATGCCAGGAAATGGACGCGGAAGAACAGAGCTCCCATACGGAAGCACCTGCCGTATACGTCCTCGCTAGTCTCGTTAGTAAGTGCTCGGCAGCTTGAATTGTACCAATGAACTTACAGCAACGATAAGATCTGCCTACACATTACATACAGCTGCGGCAGCCCGAAACATTTTGTTTTTCATGCCCTTCGTTCTGTTTCACGTAGCCAGTGAAGACGCGCGCGTCCCCGTGAGCTGAATTCACATCAATCACCGTCAGTTATGATACGAACGCAGCTGCGCTACTGTTACTACATGCGTCATCGTGGTTTTGCAGACCATTTCACCAATCCGAGCTGCTGTCAGTCGCGTGTTCAACCGCGAAGTCACACAACAAGCACACTTTGCAACGTTCAGCTGCGTCGCGCGGCCACGAGTCAAACTTCGACACAGCACTGGTGCTGGCGCTGCGGGAAATGCTCTTTTCCCTCCCGCTATTTAATTTGTTTAAATGCGAAGCATTGCTTAGCGAACTTCGGCCATTTTGAGCGTATCTATCTATCTATCTATCTATCTATCTATCTATCTATCTATCTATCTATCTATCTATCTATCTGTCTATCTGTCTATCTATCTGTCTATCTATCTGTCTATCTATCTATCTATCTATCTATCTATCTATCTATCTATCTATCTATCTATCTGTCTGTCTGTCTGTCTGTCTGTCTGTCTGTCTGTCTGTCTGTCTGTCTGTCTGTCTGTCTGTCTACTCTCCTGGCCGTTTCGTTAATATCGGCACAAAAATTTGTATGACGTAACATCAGTATATGACCAGCTTAAGTGAGTAGTCATAACATGAAAATCATGACATGGATGTCCTGAACGTCATGATTTACATGCCACGATCTTGCTGCTCTTGCAGTGGTTTCGTTCACACAACAATGTAAAACTGGTATCATATGACATGACTGCATGGCGAACATAGGTGACGAACCACGTCGATTAGACCATGCGATCAATTTCACAGGCACAACACTTTTTATAACATTTACAATACCGCGCGAATGAAACCTGGCAATGCACGGAGAAAGGGGAGCTAAGCAGGAACGCGTGTAGCCAAAGTAAAACACGTCTGAAAAAGTTGTAAGGAGATGCGGACACACTTCGCTACGGCATCGCCTGCACACACCGACCACAAGAACGCTTAAGTGCAACGAATACTACACAAAAGGCTACGCACGTACAATGACGCTGGCGAGGGCCTGAACAGCGCGCAGCCGAACTTGGCGAGAAATAGGAGCAGCAAGGAAGGAGAAACAGTGTAAGTTGGTGTATACCGACGGAAACAATGAAGAGCCGCAAAACGGCCCAAGGAGAATCCGAGAAGCAGGAATAAGAAAAATAACGGAGCTCGTGAATACCGAAAAAAAAAAAAAAACAAAGGACACCAATAAAGAAGGTATCCCGGGACGTGCAAGTATTAGCGGAGTGAAGGACCACATAGGCGGCAAAAAGAAGGAAAAAATGACCGATCAAACCACAGAAAAGCAAGCACGAGAAGCTTCAAGGAGGGCGGCACCGCGAGATCATTAAACGGGCACACCGCTCCCTCTTATCCTACACAGCCTAAGTTTTATTACGTTACCGCGCTGGTTTCCTTCCCTACAAAGCGGTGCCTTCCTTAGTCGGGGCTCGGAAGAAGTGCACCACAAAAGGGCGCAGCGGACGCACGGCTGCATGGAGGCCGGTGAATAGTCATAAAAATGGAGAAGAAGGAAAGCTGCAAGACGAAGTCACTGGCCAATCATACAACAGAAATATCTGTTTCGGATGAATTAACCGGCCAGGCCAAGCGGAACGAGAAGAGAGGCCGCTAGCACAGAAAACGAAACAAGGAAAAAAAAAAACACTATACAAGCGAACACAGCGAGACTTCCATACCACATACACTCACGCACGCACGCGCACAAACTGTGACACATTATGATTGGAAACGTGACCACGTCATGGCACAGAAAATATTCGACGAGCGTAACGATGAAACTTGCAATGAAGCGGAAATTCAAGCGCTCGTCTAGCTTTTTTTAGACACACAAGAATAACGAGAACCAAACGAGAATGACGCCAAGGAAAGTATACGGGCTGCCATTAGAAGCACAATAATGCAAACAGGAAGAGAGATAAGTGGACGAAAAGATAAGTTGCTGCTGGCAGGATAACTTGCAACCGGCGGCTCTCGAATAACGCGTCCGGCACTCTACCTTCATCCAATTTTCTTTCTTCATATTTACATAACGCTTACTACTAACAACATCTCACATACTTACCTTGACATCATTATCTCTTACTTCTCGTTAATCATGACATGAAGGAATGCAATAAACGTGCGTTTAAGCTATAGTAGTAGCTTGTTACGCTACAGTAATGGAAGGGCAAATGAATGAGCAAGTGTCCTGCTGATTATGTCAACTTCGGTTTCGCGTAACACCCGACAAAAGCCCTGGCATATTCTTTGTCGAAAGAAAAAAGTGCCGCGCGAGAACCCCCCATTCAGCTCATGGCATTGACCATTTCGCGCTTCCGACTTAAGTAT